GTGTCGTCTGATCGAGCCCAGTGCATTATGGGTGTTGACGTTTTCCTACCTTTTTCGCCACAGCCCTTGGTTTTCTCTAGTCGTGTAGCACAATTTTTAATCGCATTTCTACTGCATAGACAGCCAAATTTTATTAAAACCCTATCTTGCCAGCCGTGAATTAGACCTTTTACAATTAAGTCCAGTATTTCGAATGTTTTTCAAACCGAACCATACCGTTAGTTGCGATGTGGCGCCATCGTGTGTTGAAAGTTGTGAAGTGCTGATAGAGGAACCTCGCATAAAGCACATATGAGGTGGCATTTTAATACATTTTTTTATTATAAAGAGCAGCAAGAATAAAATAACAATTTACACAATCACAATTCTATTCTTTTTCAAAAGTAATTTGCGATGAAGGGTGAAAACTTGTTCTTTTCTCTTTCAAGTAGCACAGTTGCTGATAGTGCTGTCGTCATGGCTCTTCTTCTATATCTACCTTTTTAAGAAAGTTTTATATGTGATATAAGCACATTTTAAACTTTATAAAGCATCTATACAGTATCACAATCGCCTTCCCTGAAGAAGTAATGTAAACTAAGAATTTCAACCTGAGAATGGCCAATATATTAACTAGATATACACAAAGGATCTCCCTTTAGCATACAGTACATCTTTTATCCCAAAAAATGTATTTAGCTCAGCCACTTAAACACTGATTTAGGTTTCTAAACACTGATGATGCATCACAGACTTTTATTCAACACAAATCTTTAAAGGTTTAGCTTCACTCAGAGAGGCACTTGAGTCGCATGATTTTTTCTTTCTTTCCAGAGTTAAGAGCCCTTAAATTTTCACTGAAAATACATTTGCCACAATCCCTTGATTCTGTCCGAGCATGACGTGAAACGCAGCATCATGGTCAAAGGAGTCCAGAAAACGTGGTTAAGTTCTCCAGTAAGTTCTCACTGAAAACCACAGGAATGTTCCTGACGTGTCGCTGTCATTGTTTTGGTAGAGGTCGCCTAAACAGCAGAATATGAGGTTCTGAAAAATAAAATATAATCAAATGTCAGGCTTTTTTTTCCATCTATAATAACTTTAATATTAAAAGGAGTAGTTCACTTCCAGAAAAAAATTCCCTGATAATTTACTCACCCCCATGTCATCAAAGATGTTCATGTCTTTCTGTCTTCAGTCGCAAAGAAATGAAGGTTTCTGAGGAAAACATTCCAGGATTTTTCTCCATATAATGGACTTCAGTGGGGACCAACGGGTTGAAGGTCCAAATTGCAGTTTCAGTGCAGATTCAAAGGGCTCTACGCGATCCCAGCCGAGGAATAAGTGTCTTATCTAGCCAAACGATCGGTCATTTTCTTAAAAAAATAAAAATGTATATACTTTGTAACCACAAGTGCTTGTATTGCGCTTGACTACTGACCCAGTGTTGAGATGGAGTTTTTTTACCCTACCCTACCTTTCTGAACCAGAGTACACAGACGAAGAGCTAAGCACGCTTGACATTTGTAACGTGATTACGTCATGCGTGAATTTGCAGACGTGCATCACGGAGCTAGTGCAAGTCATGCATTTGTGGTTAAAAAGTATAGTATTTTTTTTTTAGAAAATGACTGATTGTTTCCAAATTGCAGTTTCAGTGCAGATTCAAAGGGCTCTACGCGATCCCAGCCGAGGAATAAGTGTCTTATCTAGCCAAACGATCGGTCATTTTCTTAAAAAAATAAAAATGTATATACTTTTTAACCACAAATGCTCGTCTTGCACTAGCTCACGTTGGAAAGGTCATGCGTGACGTAGACAGAAGTACCGACCCAGTGTTTACAACTGGTGAACGTGCAAAGAAAGTCAAACGCCCTTTACAAAAAAAAAAGGTAAAACTATTTTGAAGTTGGAGGAGAAAATGAGATGGAGTTTTTCGCCCTACCCTACCTTTTTGAACCGGAGTACACAGACGAAGAGCTAACCGCGAGTGACCTTTCCAACGGGAAATGTAATGTTTTTTAAGAAAATGACTGATCGTTTGGCTAAATAAGAGCCTTATTCCTCGGCTGGGATCGTGTAGAGCCCTTTGAAACGGCAATTTGGACCTTCAGCCCGTTGGTCCCCATTGAAGTCCATTATATGGAGAAAAATCCTGGAATGTTTTCCTCAGAAACCTTAATTTCTTTGCAGCTGAAGAAAGAAAGACAAGAACATCTTGGATGACATGGGGGTGAGTAAATGATCAGGGAAGTTTTATTCTGGAAGTGAACTACTCCTTTAAGGACACAGTTTGGAAATGCCATATTCAAGCCCAGATTCAAATCACATGGTCAGAGATCAGCTGACTTTACTGTGAACACACACTTTGGCTGTAATGAATGTGTGTGTGTGTGACAGACCTGGTTCATGGATCATATAATGGACCCATCCGAGCGACTGCTGCACGCCCAGCCTCCTCCACTCATCCTCGGACATCAGGTGGGATTTGGGCACTTGTTTGGCCAGTTCTCGCGGCAAGACCACATGTCTGCCGTCACAAAATGACAACAAACAATCATATTTACGTGCTGTGACTGACATGAATGTGATGCTGTAAAAATAACGTCAATACACTAAAAGCACATGGGAGACAATCCAACCACAAGTTTTGAATTGACGTCAAAACATGCCTCTAAAATGACCGAATATATGAATTAAGTATACTAAGCATTTCATAGAGCTTACATTCAACACTAACGTACAACTGACGCTTAAATAAACAAACACGCCGCGTCGAGGCCTCAAACCTCCTCGTTTTTCATCTTACCGGTATTCATAAAGATCATCTGTGTATTTATCCGAGTAGTAGATCTGTTTATGAGCCATTTTAGATGAAATTAAGTCAATTATGACAATAATCAGATGTATTGATCCGTGAAAGAAGGATTCGATCAAACTCTAGCAACTTTAACAATTTTAACCGATACGGTTTTGAACCCGCAGTTCAACCGGAGCCGCCACTTCTGATTGGTTGAGAGAGGTCATGTGACTGGAGTCAGCGTGGTCACGTCGGAAGGGCGGGGGCGGAGGAAAGCGCGGTTGCTCTGGAAACCGATCAGCGATGAGGAAATTAAAGAATATGTGCCAGTAAATATTAAAAAAAATATATATATATTTGCCTCAGAAACCTGCTCAAGGTAAAATGTGTAATGTTACTACTGCATTATCATGCTATTTTGAGCCATGCTTGATGGTTACATCTTTTGAGAGCTTAAAAACCCTTAAAAGTATGACCGAAAGACAGCAAACTGTGTTTGATTTGATTTTTGCTTGTATTATTATTTTTTAAATGATGTAACATTTCACTTTTATTGCATTCAACTTTTCCAGTGTTTATATTTCAAAAACAGAAGAGAAAAGCAGAAATGAAAGAAAAACGGAAATAAACAAAATTGTGTCGTTTCCAGTTAACTTTTTAATTCGCGTTATAACTCATCAGAAATGTTTAAACAATATCTAATTTCATATAATTATTACACATGCAGTTTTTAAAGAACCCATAAGAGAAACTTAAAGGGGTCATATGATGTGATTTCAATTTTTCCTTTCTCTTTGGAGTGTTACAAGCTCTTGGTGCATAAAGAAGATCTGTAAAGTTGCAAAGACTAAAGTCTCAAATCCAAAGAGATATTCTTTATAAAGTTTAATTATTCTTTTTTTTTTTATTAGTAATTTTGGCTTCAAAAAGACAAAAGGGTTATTTAAATTGGTGAAAATCTTGCTCATGTGAAAATGTAAACTTTCTTTTGTGTATTAAAAAAACCAAAAAAACAAAAATCCTTTTGTATAAGTCCAGGTCCATATTATGTCAACTACCTAAATAAACTCAAACTACTATTAAATAAACTCAATAATTTACACATTAAATATGCATTTGTGCCATTACAGCTCTTTGAGATGTGCACTGATACATAATATTTCATCGTCATGCTCCTAAAGGCATCAGAATATAAAAAAACACAAAAAACATGAGCCATCATAATCAATATTGTTCATGAGTCAATTATAGTGACTCATCCTCGGGTATTTGCATCATTGATTGTTTGCACGAAAACAAATGTTGATCTTATGTAGTGGTATCCTAGTAACACCTGAATTCCATCTTCCTGCAAACACATGTAGTGGCATGTACACTAGAGTATGCCGTGCTACACCGGAAAACACACTCTCGCAGCAGCCAATGGCATCCGCCGGATGTGAGCTGCCAATCATTATGGCCGGCCCCCTCACCTCATTCCTGTTGCTATGCTGTCTTTGAAACTATGGTTACAGTAAAGGTTCCTGTAGGCAGCGTCTCTCTCTCTCTCTCTTTTGCGTCTGGATGCAGTCTGAACGTTTACTCTGCTAAATGCAGTGTTAAAATGAAATGCAATCGATATGTTGTAGATATGACTGTTTTATTCTATATTTACATGTTTTATACTGTATATAGACATCTTTTAGGGTCCATAAGTTCCACATCACAAAAATAGTCTATTATAAATCTGCAGTGTAGTTAAACCCATGCTTTTAGGTCACTAAACCTTATTAGTCATAGTCACTGGAATAAAATTCTTCTTGTTTTAGCATGCTTTACCTGCCATTTAAGAGTGACATACCTCATATGTGTCCCAACAGACATGTGATCATGTGATGTGATTTTTGGACTTTGAAAAGGAAAGCTTTCTGTGTTGTCTCTCTCTCTTTCTCTCTCTCTCTCTCTCTCTCTCTCTTTCAGTTTCTATACTTCCTGCTGTTTTAATGAGCATGTGTAGGAGTGAACCCGACACACTTCAGTCACGACTATGAAGATCACACACACACACACACACACACACACACATAGTCCGCCACCCACTATCTCTACTCTCTATGCGTATAAATATAAACATATAGAACACATAATGTGTAATGCATACATTTACAGTGAAACAGTATGATTTCTTATGTTTGTAACAGATTTTCTGTGTTTTTCTTGTTTTGGGACATTCAGGTGTATTATGAAAGGAAGATGAACCTGATGAACTCTTTTCCACTGTGAGTAAACTGCCTGAGAAGCACTGTAGAGTTCGAAGAGATAGATGTGATGCAGATAGATAAATCCTGATCCAGATGCGCACCACTGAAGGTTATTCATTATTGAAGGTTATTGATCAGCTTTTTATATTGAATATATTGAATATTAAAAGTCAGTGTGAAGTAATTTGACCCTGTTAACTTTTTTTTAATAATTTTTTTTATTATTATTAGTGCATGTTATTCCAACAAATTTTTTAGGTGACTTCATTCTGGTATGTAAAGGCTAATTTTAAAACTTAAATTGATTTTTTTCTTAAATTTCCTTAAATGCATCAGATTTGTGGATTTTTCAACTGTTGGATAATAAAACAGGTGAAGAAACCCCACAGATTTACATTGAAGAATGAACCCAACCATTAAGAAACCCCCTAGCAACCACACACAACATCCTAGCAACAGTGGAAACACAAACACCTTAGCAACCAAATAGTAACATTCTTGCAACCATCCTAATACCCTAGCGACTGCACAGCAGCACAGTAAAAACCACCCAGAACACCTTGGCAACAAAAATACTCAGAACACCTTAGAAACCATAAAACCCACTCAGAACACATTAGCAATAACAACAAAAAACAACAACACTTAGAACACATTAGCAACCGCACAGCAACGTCATGGAAACCATCCTAGTACCATAGCAACAGCACAACATCACAATAAAAATCACTCAGAATGCCGTAGCAACAGTTAAAAACTACCCAGAACACCCTAGCAATCACATTGCAACATTGTGGTAACCATCCTAATACCCTTGCAACTGTGTAGCCTTCAATATAAAAACACTCAGAACACCTTAGCAACCACATAGCAACATCCTGGCAACCATCTTAATACCATAGCAACTGTGCCACCTCACATTAAAAACCACTCAGAACACCTCAGCAACAATAAAAACCACTCAAAACACCTTAGCAACTGCATATAAACATTTTCACAACGATCCTAATACCCTAGCAACTGCACAGCATCTCAATAAAAACCACTCAGACCACCCTAGCAACCACATAGAAACATTCTTGTAACTATCCGAATACCCTAGAAACTACATAGCATCACAATAAATATCACTCAGAACACCTTTAGCAACTGCATAGCAACCACCTAGCAACTAATACCCCACCAACTGCATAGCATTACAATAACATTCCGAACACCTTAGCAACTGTATAGCAACCACTCACAACACCCTTGCATCCTGGTGGTGACTTTATTTATTTATTTATTTATTTAGTCATTTAGCAGACGCTTTTATCCAAAGCGACTTACAAATGAGGACAATAAAAGCAGTCAAAACTAACAAAAGAGCAACAATATATAAGTGCAAATGACAAGTCTCAGTTAGCCTAACGCAGTACACGTAGCAAGGTGTATATACTTTTGCACCAAGAATCACCACTGACATTTTCTTCAAGAAATGTACAAATCTAGTTCCTTTTATTTGCTTTTGTTGCATGTTTTTAATTTCCAGAACAACATACTGCAAGCAAACGGCTCTGTTGGGCAGGATGCATCATATAATTCAGTCGATTCAGTTCAGTGTATGTTCTTTGATCAGCCTTCATTCATATAAATGTGCAAAATTTGCTCTCAGGACACAACGAGGGACCAGTTTATCGGAGAGTGCAATTGACTATAGCTGTTTTTTTCCTAAACAGGCCATGCATCCCACCAAAACGTATTTTAGAAGCGGTTTACATGCATTCAGGAGTTTAGAAGCGACGCAGCGAGCAGTACACAGTGCTGTCAGAAGAGAATGGTTTCTCCCATCACCTGTGCTTCAAGTGGTTTGTCCCACTATTCAGCCAGCCTACCCTGAATGAGTCATCCTGCTCTTCCTTGATTGGCCGGTTGGGATCCATCCCGAGGGATTGCCATGCAGAAAGCTGCCGAGGCCTGACTTCATTCACAGAAACGTCGGTATGCCCGTCTGCCTTTCCATTCACAGCAAGCCCAAATCATTTTCGTCCGCACGGCTCCCCAGCATCCTCACATCCTCTCCTCAGCATCTCTTCCGCATCTCTGTGACAACACCGAACAAGGAGCACTTATAATGCTTTCTTTGCTTTTGTCTTAGTGGAGAAGACAAACCCTTGCTCTCTCTCTCTCTCTCTCTCTCTCTCTGTCTCTCTCTCTTTTCCTCTTTTTTTCAATTTGCAGGCAGGCAGGAAAGCGAGACGCTGGGAGAGACTGCAGTGCGTTAGCCGCAGCGCTACAAGAAGCTTGTGAATGACTGCTGCTTCCCTGTCACAAGTTCTTCTGGACATTTTACATGAATGGCTCTTTTTTTGCTGCCTTAATGTCGTGGGCTTCATCCCGTTGGCTGCTTTTTAATGGGGCTGGGAGATCTGACATCACTATTTACGGTCGTATCCCTGCCGAATCCGGATGGCGTTTTAGTGAGATCGAATCTCGACGTTGTGTATTTGAAAGGGATGTTTAATTATTCAACAAAGCTCATTGAGGAGTAAAGCTCAGCTTGTTTTGCCTTCTGTAGGGGGAGATATTCGAGTGCTCGTGTGGATGGATTTATGCCGATTTCGTAGTACGTAAGGAAGAACGAATGTGACAAACAAAGAGATAAAGCCGCATTGGTCTTGTGGTTTAAATTTGAACACATTTTAAACTTGCCATTAACAATGGCGATGCATAAGTGAGGTAGAACCAACCAGACTGATGCGGGCAAAAGGTGAACGCTTTCAAATATTTTATGTCAGTTTGGTAGATTATTATTTCACAATCAATGGCAGGTCATGCAACACACCTTTTGAGTATAGCACCTTGCTTCTGAACTGAAATAAAACTGTGATTGCATGTACGGAAAATTAGCGATCGCCATGCACGGCGACTCAAGTTTCATTGTATGTGGCGTACATGTGATCCAACAGCATGCACGGTACTCCAGTGTGATTTCTGCATTGAATTATGTCAGTGGATTATGTTGCTGACTGATTTTAGTTCTAGTTCATTCTGACTAAGCTCGAATTTCACTACAGTGATCTGTTTATTGCATCTTTTCCATTCTGTTTATCCGTTTCAACACGGTCCGAATCAAAACAAGAGGCGTTCCTACGGACAGGGCGAATTTTGAGAATTGATTGGTTCTACTGAGCTGTAAGTGGGAGTTTTTTTGTAACGGAAAGTGCTCTGCAGTGTTGAGTGAGTCTTTTGTTGAAAAGGGTCTCTCTCTCTCTCTCTCTCTCTCTCTC